TGAAAACAAAAACTGGCTCCAGCTGTCAAGTATAAAAGGTGCAGTCCTGGTCTCAGATGTTAATCTGGTTTCAAACAGAGCAACTGAATGGAGGATCAAGTACACTGACACAGTGACATTCAGAACAACTGCATCTCCCAGTGTTTTGAGCAGTATAATGCCATTACTGAGCACAGTGCTGCTAATCTCATSTCCACTCTCCACTGAAAGGGAGAGCATCAAAGCTTTAACATCTGCACCTCCTACCTGGTATTTGTCTACTGTCACTCTCCTCTCCTGTGTATCTGTTCCCTAGTCCATTTTGAGCTGAAATCCTTGCCTTATCACATTCAGCAGTTGTCTGTTGATTGCAGGAATTAAAAGAACTTGGAGCTGTATCTTGGCTTGCATGACAGCATTTCTAAATGTCTGCAAGTCTCTGGCAAGCAGAACTAAGTGCCAGGGTCTCTTTTCATAAAATACCTTGGAGTGTCTTGGCATATTCATCACTCTGGAGGGTCCCTGAACAGACCCACAGTAGGACAGTTTGCGCAGAGAGACAGAGTCAAGCTGTCTCCAGCCTTCAGAAATCCACTCTTAGAAAGGGTTTGTGGACTGTGAAGTAGGATGACAAGCAGGAATGACGTCCCAWGCCCATGCTTCCTTCCAACATGCACTATATAGTCCCCTCTGACAATATAGTTGGCAAGTCCCAGCCAAAATAATTTCCTTGTGACACTGTAGGGCTGCAGCTGTTTGTTAATGCCTAAAGGCATCTATCATATTTATTAGTACAATGACCTGTGAATAAAAGGAATGAGCTCTCTATAGCATTGTGGTAACCATGAAACTTGAGAAGTCCTAGATTTTATAAAAGGGCTTCAGAGATCCAAGAGACAGTTTATTAACCCAGCAAATTGAGGTACCCAATGTCAGCAGTACAACAGAGATAAAATAGAGTGCACACCCTTGTAACTCTGGATTGAAAGCATCAAATCTGCACTGCATTACAGTCACTGCAACAACAGTGTTATATTAAATTCTGCTTAGAATTTATTTTTAACTTGCTTTCATAGATCACCAATTATCTGAATGCAGAACTGAAGAATTTTGGCCACAGGACTGATTTTTAAGTAGGTACAAGGAAAGGTATGCATGAAAGGAAGAAGATTATTAATTTATTTCTCCTAAGATGGTGCAGGGTACCAGAAATATCAGAATATGTGGGACTGTGACCAGACCTGATGAGAACACTGTAACAAAGCGGAAATATGTGCTGAGAAGGAGAAACCAGCTGCTCATTTGACTGTGGAATGGCCCCATAAGGATCCAAGGGGAATCCATGACTTGAAACAGAACTTGAAGAGACAAAACAGTAATGAGTGCACTGGAGGGAACAAGGAGTTTCTGCCCCTGCTCTTCTGTTTGACAGGACACCCCGTGTAGCTGCTGCCATGACCGTTAGTGCTTATTAATGAGAAGTCTCAACAAAAGAAAAAAAACCCAGTAGATGCTGCTGAAAAATTCCAGGCCACTGTCACCACTAAAAACCTTCCCACCTGGATTCACAAATCACTACTTTTTTTTTTGAGAGTCAGGAATAAATATTTACCCCTGAAAATTCAAAATCTGCATTTCTCTGAGTATTTAGCAGCACTTTGCAAGTAAGGTCTGCCTTCTAGATGCCCAGCTGATGGCAACACAGTTATTGTAAGATGTGTACAGTGACAATGCCTTTTGCTGCAGCACCACAGATGACAAGGTTTACAAGCCTCTTCGTGCTGCACTTGTCCTGTCTCACAGAAGAGGAAAGCAAGGCTCAGCAGGCTAAGATCAGCTTACCTGGGATTTAATAAACTGGAAAAGAGAACTAGCTGGAAAGAATTATACTTTCTCTCCACAAGGAAATATAATGTAAGTGCTGTTCTTCAAGGGAAAATGGAAGAAATAGCAATTAAAAGTTGCCTGAGCAGGAGCTACATGGGACAGTGAGAAGAAAGTGACTGCTGCACTCACAACAGGGCTGAGGAGTGCAGACAGGTGAAGGTAGCACAAGAAATAGTCCTAAGGCTGACTCAGAGATAATTTGTGAGGCACCAGGCTCCTGAGGAAAGGCAGGTTTGGACATGATCACTGTGGCCTCATGTCACTTGTGTCCCTCTGTCCTAGAAAACCATGGTCATGCTGTGAACATACCCAGAGCTGCACACACGAGGCATTATCCACAAGGAGAAAAGTGAAAAACTCCAATGAAAAATGACTGGTGCAACTTGTGGGGAAACTTTTGCCTGATAACTGTTTTCACCTGTGAGGGTTTGAAAATTGCTGCAAAATGCTGCTGCTTTTGCTAGTGTAGAAACAGCCGTGGATGAGTCAGAACATGGAAATAGCTCAGCTGACAGTGAAACAAAGACCCTGTGCAACAAACTTGGATRTCACTTGGCACTCTGGGCAGCACGTGATGATGGGTTTCTTGAATTACTTGGCRTACCTCCACTGCCAGATGTAGGACAAGAAGTACGTGTGGCTGAAGTTGGAAAGGATCCCAGAYCTCTCAGAGACTGGTTGTTTCTCATWCACCACTTCCATACAGATGTTGTRCTTGACTGGCCTGGAAAGCAAAGGCTGTTGCCATGCACATCATCTTATGAGCCTTTCTCTATTCTTGGTCGAAAGGGTGAAGCACTTTCAGTCCACATAGCTCACCCATGACCTCGTGGAGGTACAGACAGCACTCTCCCAAGTGCCACTTTCCTGCCACCACGTACAGGAGCTCTCAGCTACCAGATCTTCCAGTCCACTTCAAATTGTTTCCAAGCAGGAATGGGGCTTCACTTCCAGATTGTCATTTTGGTTGCTGCAGCACACCATATCAGAGGGCGCCAGGCTTCTGCTGCTCTTCACTGCATCCACATAGATTTCTGTCCCTGACCACCAGCATTCACTTCTCCTACTTGCTCCATGTGGTGCTGGGGCCACACTCAGGAGCTGTGTGGGACTGTCAGGGGCAGCACGGTGGCTGTGACACCCCATAGGACACCCCATAGGGCTGTAGGCCTCACGTGGTCCCACCTGTACCAAGCACTGTAGCCACACTGTCCCTTCTKATAGTACTTGAAGACGATGAGGATTTGGTTGTAGACAAATCATATGAGAACAGACACTTGTTTCCCTCCTGATACACTCCCTGCAGGTCACCTGCTCTGTGCTCATCGTGGCAGCGCACTGCCCAGCCCCTGGCCCCTGACTTCTGGCTGTTGAACACAGAAAGTACAGGGGACAGGAGCAAGAACAACCAGAGTACAGCGAATGAGCCCTGTGAGGAGGCACAGAAAAAAATGACTTGGTTTAGTCTGGGGGAAGTGGAAGAGATGCATGATAATACCCTTCAAATAGGTAAAAGTGCAGYACAGAAGGTAATACACTATTATCTGTGTCTGCCAGGAGACAAGAAGTGATAGGTTGCAGTAAGGGAGATTTATTGGTTATGATTAGGAAGTGTTCACATTACTGTGTGGGGAGCAGATGAAATCACCATCACTGAGTCTTGGAAGAGGTGAAATACCCTGTGATCAGGAATGGTTTAGCCAAAGAAGTACCATCTCCCTCACACTTTTTTCCTGTAATCTTTTCTTGTACTGTGTACATGATGAAAATATTCCAGAATTTCTTCCCACTGTCTGTGACACCTCTAAGCAGTGCTTTAATAGCTGTGTCTCAGAGAGAGGCTCCTGCCTGGCTGTTCTAGCTGCTTGGGTTGCAGTAGCTCATGTCCTTTTAATGRCATAATTAGACAAACCAGGATTCCAAACAAACCAGTGAGTATTAAAAACCCAACTCTCACTGATTTTAYATTAAGCCAATTGGAATTTCACAGGCTGCAGTGCCAGGCAGACCGTACAAAGACCGTAATAAGATACCTTTGCCACTGTAGCAATCTCATGTTGTGCACTCCTTGAAGTACAGAAGTTTAAATCAGTTCTTGTCCATGGTAGTTTTATCTTACCTTTACTTAATTGGTTACTGCAGGGTTGTCTTGGAGACTTGAAGATCTGCTCTTTGAAACCACTGGATTCTTATACCCAGCCTAGGAAAGAGAAATGGGATTTCATACAGCAAACTTGTCAGTAATARAACTGGATCAAAAATGCTGAACCACTGCATAAATGCATTAGCTGGTGTCCAGCAAAACAGCCRTCTGCTGAGCTCAACCTTGGACACTGGTTCCCAGCTACTGAAGCCCTAAATTATTATTTTAATAATCATGTCTGAATTCTTGTCTGAAGTCAACTGCCACCGGAGGAGGCAAGTCAAACTTTACCCTGGCCACATTGCCTGGGTTTGCTGTCCCTGTCTGTACATTCACCAAGCCCTCAGGTTTGACTGCTTCCTCCCCAGTTTTCACATGCAGATCTCTTGCTGATTCTGCTTTTGAAGGTTTTTGTTTCTGGCGCTCAAATCTTGGCTGACAGGAGTGCAGCCATGCTGTGTGCTGATTGCAGCTGGCAGGTGGATTAGAGCCCATTCAGATGCCTGTGAAATGCCTCTGCAAGACAGAAATGGTTGAACAATGGATTMTTTCACCATGAAGAGCTCAGAAACTGATGCAGACAGTCACGYTGAGGAGACAACCTGAGGAGCATGAAGACAAAAAGCAATTCATGCTTCTACAAGCCCCACGAGATCTTTCCAGCTCAAAGTTTTGGGGATCTGCTGCCARCTCCCTTCCTCCTCACCTAAGCTAGTTGATTTCTCTGAGGTACAGGATGTTCTCAATTTTTTCCAAAATATGTGGGAGCTACAGTTGCCAAGTAACAAAATCTCATCACCCTTTTCCTGAAATGCATAATTCCTCATTTCTCTGTTTCATGGAATGGACAGATGAAGCTGTGATCTATGACACTTGTTCAGTATCAGGATTATTTAGATACCAGTTGTGCCCCTGGATAAAACTATTACAGAGTTTTAGGGAAGCAATCCAACTGCCCTTTGTCTCTCATCYTCAAAAACAAAACTGAGGACGCATTTCACGATTCACTGAACTGACTCAGTGACCAGTGTAATGAGATTTCATTAAGAATACAGCGATGCTGCAGCCAGGGAGAGGCAGCCTGACATTTTTTGAAGATGTGTCCTTCCCCCTCACCTACTGAGAAGCACTCATGTGGTTGATCTCACGCAAGGTCAGAACAAAGCTGACAGATCCCACTCCTTCAGAGGAATTGGGGGCAAAATTCAGCTCATTTTGATGTTACTGGAACTAAAGGAGGTCCACAGAACAACAAACAAGATGATGAGGGGTGAAGAAGCTGTCTCAGGAGATGTGATTTGAGAGAAGAAAGCTGGAAAAGGAGGACAGAATGAAGATTTGCAAAATGAAGAAGGCCCTAGGTAAGCTCTGGTTCAGCTACTCTTCAGGAAGTCCCATAGTACTGGAACCAGCAGGCATTTGCTGAATCTAAAAGGGGGTTGGTTTTAACAATTAAATAAGGTAATTTTTTACACTGTGGGGAGGGCACTTCAGGAACTGGCTGCCACAGGGAGCAGACAGAATTGTCAGWGTCAGGGAGCAATTAGACAAAATCACAAACAAAAAGTCTAGACATGGACATTGAATGCCCTAGGCATGTCTGCTCCAACATAGCTGATACAACAACTGTGGCTGCTGCTAAAGATATGAGGGGAGCAGACCACTAAAGTAGCCAAGCAAGTGGGTTCTCCCTAAATAGCACATTTTATTGCCTCAATCTACAACAGAATACTGGACATGAGATGGATCCAGGTTTGCTGTTATCTCTGTTTTGATAGAGACTCCGTTCTTCCTGCACCGTGACAGAGTTCATTCCCCTTTGATCCTGCTCCCAACAGAGCCAATAATCTACCACAGGTTACATGAAGAAGCATGTTAACCTCCACATTTCATCCAAGGTACATGCTCTCCTGAATATCTTGAAATCTTGTTCTGTATCCTGTTTTGCTCCTTCCTTCCACACAGCAGCAAGAAGCATCATGTGGCTGAGCTGCCTGTGAATCTTGAAGACCAGCGGTGTCTGAAAGTTTGTGACACATTAGCAGAGTGACACAGTGACAACTCCATGCTTGTGCACTTCAATAAGCTAGTTATAAACAAGAGGGTTTCTTCTCTAATGTTCCCAGTCYTCGCTACCACACTGGAGAGGACTGGACTAATGAAGATTTCCTCCTGTGAGCTCCATGAGGCATCTGCACTATTCCTTCTGAACTCATTACAGTGAACAGAACATAGATCAGAAAAAACATTCTTTGCTGGCTATAAATCATGAGTGACACTAAGGTATTGCTATCAGCAGCAGAAAAATATTTTCCTCCCCAACCTCATCCAGCCCCATGTACATACAACACTTTGGCAAAGGTGATGGGGTTTCTGGTTGAAAATTAAATAGAGGTTGTGTTGTCTGAAGATAAATTGGTACCTCCCTCAGCATGAGTGACTTTGCCATTTTCTGATTTGTCTTTTAACTTAAAAAACACTGAGAATAGAGATAAGGAYGAGCTTTAAAACCCTAGCCTTTGTCCCCTCCCAGGCTCTCCTGAACAAATCCCGTCTCTGAAATGAGCTCAAAACGAAGATAAATGTTCTGGCAGTAATATGCAATATTATTTTTGGCACTCGAAGAATCTCAAGCTAGATAAAGAAAAACTGAAAGGAAGACAAAGCTGTTTTTTTCAAATGCAAGGGACCAAAGTCTGATATCCCATATGAATGCAGAATCCTTGTTTTTTTCCAGATTTTTGCAGTAATTCCTGATTTTCACCAGAGTAGCTGATTATAGGACCTTATTTAAAACCCAGCACATTGAGATGCTTGTGGAATCACACAATAACAGAACTGAAAGACAAAGGCGTGTGAAGACAGTGCCAACTCCCCAGCTCCTGCCCAAAGGCTAATTTAGTTGTGGACCATGTTGGCTGTTACAATGATAGGATTAACACCTGATATCAAGGGAAAGGCTGAACTGTCTGAGACCTCTTTCAGCAGAATAGAACACACCCCAGCCCCTCTGGCATATTAGCATWTGTTAGAGGAATGGCCTCTTTCCTGGACTAGTATGAATTTCCCTMCAGAGCCTTTGTCCAAAGCTCAGAGCAGTGTTCCTGCTGATAAATTTGTGGGCATGTTGAATAAAACATGTGCCATTTCTCATTGTTTGCTTGGGCTGCCATGGGGAATGGGAGAGGGCACCTATTACTGTAGGGCAGAGAGCCATGAAGGGCTGAATCTGGCCTTTCTAGGAGCAGGATGAAGCACAGGCAAATGCTGGACTGTTTCATGTCTTTGATTCTGAGAGAGCCCTGACCAGCTCATCTGCATTGATTTAAGTGTCAACTGTATATGTTGCCTTAAGGTAAGGAAAAGTGAAAAGCCCAAACCTTTGCTCTCTGTACATTTWTTAGCTTGTTATATATATGTATATGCTTTGGAAAATAAATGGGAAGGGATTTTCATAACAAGCTGAGTGTTTTAGAGGCAAAATTTCTAGTGCTCAGAAAGATTCCCGTGTCCAAAGCACAGCCTGTGCTCAGCAAATTTCAATGTGCTTTGTCAAGCCTGGAAGTTTGATAAGAGACTCTGGTACTCAAGAGCTCTCAGAGCATCCTGTTCTAGGGAACAACAGTTATTGATGCTGCTGGTTTTAAACTAAGAAGTTGCCACATCTCAGCTGTTCTGGGATTTGACTGGCATGTGAGGAACAGTTGCATGGAATAGCTAGAGGCATTGCCACCTGTGGTGTATATTCAAAGTTAATAATTTTCTAGGCAATTAAGAACTGGTACATTTTATAATACAAGATGTGTATGATGTGACCAAAAGGAATATCCTAGCATAAGAAATAGGACATTTCTAAGGAAATTCAGAATCTTCCTCCTCAAAGCTGTGAAATATCCTCAGGTCAGTTCGGTGAAGCAGCATATTGAGAAGGATGTCAGCAAGAATCAGGAAGAGCCCTAGAGGAAATTTGTTTGGCCACTAGGAAGAACACTGTCTCCCAGATAAGCTTTGATGAAACACTTGTTCATTTTCATTTCTGTCACCCTGTTTCCAGCTCTGTAATGAAATATCTTATCCCTGTCAGCTGTTGAGCCAGTGACAGGAGTTGTTCTGTCCAAGGGCCAGTTCTGTAGAGAGGAGCCCAGCTGGCCGGGCACTCACTCATGTGCCTTTGGCAAGGAGCATGCAGTGGGAAGATGACTCCAAGATTATCTGTAACTACTAAAGGATCTGCCCTTGAGACCCACAGAGCATGGTCATGCCCTGTCCTGAGCTCTAAATTGTTAAAAAGCTTAAAAAGCTGCTGGGGTTTGGTTTCATGGAGCTGATCATGGCAGTAAGGCCGTCTTTAGCCTTATCTTCATCTCCAGCAGATTTCTGTTTCATGGAAGCAAATTAATTCTTGTCTTCTATGCAGAAACAATAGTCAAAACATAGTCTTTATTTGCTCTGATCATCCTTTGGTAAGCAGCTTTGCTTCCTTGCTCCCCACTTCTCTTGTTCTGTTTGGTACTGGACACTAAGGCTGCTTTCCCTCAGTAGAGGCATCATGGTTTTCCACAGGAACATGWATACACAACTACAAGCTGATTTCCTTGCCAGCAGTGGGTGTGGRAGGTTGTAACTTTTTCCAATGGCAAGGAAAAAGCAGCGAGCTCACTGGCACAAATCTATCAGTGAAGCTGTACAAGTGTATTAAACACAGTAAACAAGAACTTTGCTGTTTCCCTTCAAATAAATAGTTTCTCCTTCTCAGTTTGCTCAAGCATAAAAATCCTCTACCCTGTAAATGCCACTGCCAGTATTTATTTTTGAAGAACTTGGATTTATTTATTTATCCATATTTAGTTTAAAAGTCTGGGCTCMAAATTAAACAGTCATTCATAATGTCATTATCTGCCTTGCTCTGCAGTCAGATACCGTGTGTGGTGTCACAGGACAAAACCTTTGGCAAGGCCCCTAGAAGAGCAATTTAGCTCCTCATCCATCTTGCCTGGCAGCATGATTGGCTTCCAAGCTTGCTCTGCTAAATTTGTTATTTTACTCTGACTTACATTATTGAGTTTTAAATCACTTTCTGAAGTGTTTATTGGTAATAGTTGAATTCTTTCCACCCATTTGAAATACTTTTAAAACATAAACATTTTCTTGTATCTTGGAGCTTGATAGAAAGGTGGGAAGAGTTCCTCAGGAGGATGGATTGTAGAAATGACCAGCTCATTAAGTAGGGGCTGAATTTACCAGCCTGTGGAGGAGAATATCCTCCTCCTTCTAACAGTATGAAACAGCAAACTCCCACRCCACTCCACAGAGCTCACATGAAGAAAGTTAATTTATGTCTTGATTCTCCCATCATGTCTTGGCCTGTCAGGAAGCAGATGACCTGTTTACTGCAACACCAATGGCTTCCTGACAGGGTTTTCATAGAACCTGGATGCCCCTGAAAAGAAAGCCAGGCTGTGATCTGCAGGATCAGGTGCTGGGGAGGTTATTAGACATCAGTGTACCTGTGCTTCCAAGTGTGGAACGTGGTCTGCAGCCCCTGCCTGGCAGTGATGTCTCTTGGGAAGGAACCAGAAACAACTTTCTGGTACCTATTTAGGAAAATGGAGCAGAGGATCAGAGAGCAGAAATAAACAAAGAGCTTAAAATCTAGTGTGGCCATTGGAAGCTGAGCTGGAGAACAAGGGCCAGAGGCAGGTCAAGCTGGAGAGGAGGCAAGTTTTCAAACAAGCTCTTTGGTAAATGATCTCTTGAGGACCAGATGTGACAGCCCAGCAGCCTGATCCAGGCCACTGTATTCAGTACTGCAAGTCCTCGTACCTCTTGTCCTTGATTCAGTGAAGACCTACAAGTCAAAGTTTTTCTTTTAATTTTATTTTTAATGAGGAGGTGTGTTGAGTCTCTTTCCTGCATCTGGGAGTTACTTTCCAATCTGATGAACACTGACTTTTAGAGATGACACCAGTGACTGACTGCTAAGATCACAGTAGCAATCAAGGCTCTTTTGATGGCAGAGCTAAAAATACGCTCCCCAGCTGACACAAGCCTTCAGAAGGAGAACATACAGTTTGGTTTGAAAGAATACATCTCCTTTTGTCTCCATGGCTTCTGCCAGAGGACATCACATCTGTGACAACCATGCAAGCAGGTTACATCTGTCTTCTRAACTGAAGCAACCATGTACAGACCCATATCACTTCCAGACTCAGCAAGAAGAAAGCTTTAARCCCTCTGWRTGCCTCRGAGAATGGTTTCATTGGCAGTTTTRCCTCTCTGGTCCTGTTGGCATCTGTAAAGTTATTGCATGGCCAGAGCCACATCTTAGGGTCTTTAGCAGCTTGCCTTTGACAGTCCCTTA